CACACACACACACACACACACACACACACACACACACACACACACACTTGTACCAAGAGTTACTATGTTGTTTATGCCCCAAACTTTCTTTTCTTTCTTCCAAGAATTGATTGCACTTTCTGGAATAGTTAATGATAACCATGGGTTTCGTGTAGATGTGAAACACAGGTTTCTTTCTATGCTGAAAAGGAGATACTTCTACAATTAATAGAAATAAAAAATACTGTACCTGATAGGAAAATTTTCTTGATTATATTATTAGTTAGTTACTCTGTGGAGGAAATACCAATGAATTTAAAGACACAGCAACAAAATCTATACAAAAATAATTCAAAAGTCTCAACCATAAAATTTTAGTGGTGTAAAATTTTAAGCTTTAAGCTACTACGTCCGAATGTGGTTAAACTGAGAAGCAACATTCAGTTAACTGTACTGCTTTACTGGATAGCTAAATAATAGAAGCTATTTCTCCTTAAAATATGAAAACGTTCTTGACACTGTTATACTAACACTTGACTAAAGAATTTAGACTATTTGTCTTTCCTTAGAGAAGTTGTACTGTGTTTAATTTGGTCCTAGAACATCTGAATGACTGAGCTCGTGGCAACTATATGTTCTCACTGGTAAAAGATGAGTTGGTGCTTCAAAAGTATGTAATTCTACATTTTGTACATTTCTACACTATACAATTCTATAGTCTGATTATACCTCTACATAGGACAGTTTGTGATAGTGACAACAGAACCAGAAGCAAAACACAAATAAGACTTTATATTCATTACCCAGCCACAGAACATTGTCTGAACAACTTCCATTTTAGAAGCTTTAGAAATTGGCATATGTCTTAATGGCTGTTGTGGTGAACTTTCAAGTAGTCAGAGGAGAGAGGCAGACAAACAGAAATCACAGCAGACAGCTTTTTCTTCCTAGAAAAGTTGATTTCAGTACCACAGTTATGTTATTTTACTGGTCTAATGTGACATATTCAATAGATGACATAAAAATTTCCTCTAGAAATGGTTTTGACTTTTCCCCCATGAAAGAGCATAATTTTTTGCAAGCCATCAAATGTTTGAAGTCAGAAAAAGGCATGCAGTAAAGTCAAGTGCACATTCGGAGTCCTGGACTATCTGGGAGTAGGAAGGAAAGGGAGGCACTCAGCCAACATCCAAAAACACAGACAGTGATCAAGCAAGTACTTGAGTTCTCCTGAATGCATTGTCTAATATTCTGCAAGAAACTCACACTTTTGGTGAAGGATGGTTCTAGTTTTGGCTCAGTGTTTTTGGAAAATGTTGCCAGCAACTTTTGTTCCCTTATTTGTAAAAGGAAGATGTTCAATTTGATAACCTGTGTCAATCAGCAACTAAGGTTTCCACGAATGTCTAGTTCTTAAAACTCTTAAGCTCTCTGGACACAGTATAGGTTTTGCTCTGCTGCTTTCATTTTCAAAGAAAGTCATCATAACAAATTGCAAGTAGGTGCAACATTTCTAATTTGTTGTTTGAGAAGTACATACATCAGAACTCAATTAGACAAACTAGCATCTTGATCAGCCATTAGGACTCAAGTGTTTCATTGTTTGGTTCAGTGTGTGAGCACAGGAACCTCTAGGCTATGTAATAAAGAGGATGCCATGTATTAATCCAAACAAGACAAGACTGGAAGCTCTGGAAGCTTTCAGTGAAAAACCACATGGGAGAAAATTTCCTACAGATCATTACCCTGCTTCAAAGTTAAGGCCTTATAAATGACTCCTTTCTTTGTTGTCTCTAGTGATATGGAATAGTGAATAAGTCACACTCAGTTAGTAGAGACAAAACACATAGTTCAGGCACCCGTGTCATTTATAGAATTCCATCACCAATCACAACATTCGAATTTTCAAAAAAAGGAAGTATATGTTCATATATCTGACTTGATGGCTAGAAGGACATCTATCTATCATCTATCTATCTATCTATCTATCTATCTATATCCATTTATCATCCTAATGAACAATTATTTTCTTCAATCATTTCTAATTTGGTTTCTGTATTAAAAATTCCACCAATCATGCTCTATAACAAGCCACCAGTTCATTCCATCCACTAATTTGAGTGAGAAGATATCATGTTCTGGGTTACCCATCAGTTTCCTTAGGTGATTTCACCCATTCAAGTTTTCAACCTCCACATCGATGGCAGTGACTTAGAACTGCCTCTTGACCTGAAGTATCAGACAGGACACTTCTGCTTGTATATCTATAGACATTTTAAATGGAATACAGGAAGCTCTGTCAAAAGAAGTTCCATCATCCACTAATCACCACATTCCGAAAAGTACAAAACACCCTTTAGTCACCCATTCTTCACTGCTGCTCTTGCTACTCCTGAGAGTTTAGAGGACTGGACAGTTGGACACTTTAAAGCCCTGCATGTGGTTTTGATATACACCCATGGGCAATTAACTACTGACTGAGAACTCAGGAGAAGAATAATGAAGGTTTTGTGACTTTATTAAGGATCTTTAGTTCTCCAGAATATGTTGGCTTTATTTTTCTTTTTCTGTTGCTTTCCCTGAGAATAGGAGCCAAATTCCTGCCTAGGACTTTGACTCTGTTTGTGCTGGCTACATATAAGCTTCCAAGGAACACAACAGCAACCTGAAATGCGATGTGTCATCAGTGAGCTTGGTCTTTGTTAGAACAAAGGGTTCTGGTATTACTGGTCTACCTGCTTATACTGTTCGAAAGTGATGGTGCCCGTCTGTGCTTCGTCCATGGCCTTAAACCTCTGCAGAGTCTCCAGGAGCTCCTCCTCCAGGGGGATGGGCCATGGCATTGCTGTGACCATCAAGAACTTCCTCCAGTCCACGAACTCTGAGTTTACTGTTAATAAGGAAGTGATCTCCTGCAACTGAAAGAACACAGGAATATCTCACTGGAGTGCTTATGGGAATAACTTGAAGCTCCTCCCACTAAGGCTTTCAGAGTTTGGTTCCAAGGGAAGAGGGATTTTGCAATAGCGGGCAGAGCCGTTTCTCGCTGGGCTTTACTTTCATTTTCTGTTCTAACAACTGATCCACACCAGTCAATAACTAGAAAGGATTTTATTTATGTTTGCTATCTTGACATTTATGGCTTTTGTTTACTGTTACTCATCCGATTCACTCGTGAGATTTTGTTGACCTGTGTCTTTACCAGTGGAAGGTTAAAGACAGGGGACATCACAAACAAACAAGGCAGTGCACTGTAACTATTGTATTTCCTAGGGCATCTATGAGACTATGATGAGAAATAAGGACTCTCAAAATCATCTGCTGTTTCTTGCTAAGGCAGTTGCAAACTGATAGGAATTTGGTCGACTCTCTCAGTTCCTGAAATGTGTCAGTGTTTGGGCATCAGTAATCTGTCTCACTTTCAAGTTCCTTCACTCATTTAAATTTCATAGATTTCTTGCTAGTGCGATAAACTGTGTTAGTATTCGTTATCTTAGAACTACTGACAGATCGAGTGAGGCCAACATTAAAGGCTTTTAGAACCCAAGCAAAGCAGATGTTTACATCAGGTTGCGTGAGGTGCATCCAGCTGCTCGGAAAGTTATTCGTTCCAAGGTTCAGAGTCACCAAATCAAGCAGAATGTCAGTGAATGCTTTATTTCCTATGATGCCTACAACACAAAGAAACATTTATTTGTTGAATTTCTTAATTATTTAGCACTGCAACTTGTACTTTAGAAAGAGGCTACTTTAAAAACATTTTAAAAATCCTCATGTACTTGTTATCTCTCCAAAGACTCTCCTCTGTGTTCCAGGAAAACAAACAAATAAACATTCCTGGTTGAGAAAATATTAAAATTGCATAATCCTTAGACTAAAATCTTCCTTGATGTTTTGTTCCAAGTGGCTTGAATTTTTAAGAGCTATGATAACTTTTGCTATCTCCAGTAGAACACAGAGGTAAAACAGTTCATTTTTCAAATGCATGCAAACGAGATGGCACAACAAAGGTAGCACCCATTGTCCTCCAGTTAGCAATTGCTAGCTCTTCTAACTGCAGGGAGACTTGGATGGCCATTGAATGAGTTCAATGAGATTACAGGTTCTAATTAACTCTCAAATACTACTAACTATCCAACTGCCTTGCTTCTGTCCGCTAATCTACTTTAGTATATCTACAAGGCACAGCTTCTTAGATCTTACTCCAAGTTGCATGCACATGCATTAAAAATAGAGAAACAAAAGCAATAAATGTAAACAGCAACCAAAACATTTAGCTAACACACAGAGCCAAGGTACCTTCTAGAATTATGGAAGACCAGTTATATACATCCAAGTATTTGTCAGGTACAATGTATAGAGCTATTCCTTTTCCAGGAGTAACAAAGGTGTATTAAACATAGCATTCTAATGTTTCCTTTTATGTCTGAGTTTTCATCATATTACTGAGTCCACATGAACCACACTGCTTCTTCCAACCCCTAGGAAAATGCAGTTACCCCTTTGAAATGTCAATGTTTCAAACCACATGTATTTTTTGTAAGACTTGAAAGGCAATATGATGATTAGCAGGAGTTCACCCTTATTCTTTCGGTATAATTAAACATCCACAGATAATTCAGAGATGAACTTTATATTATTTTGATTTCACAGAAGCATCTAATATTAGTCATGAGAACATTTTCCGGGGTAGAATGTTTCCCTGTAAATAAAAGTCTATATGATCCACACAGAGTTTCAGATATTATAAATAAATCAAATATGTTCTTTAAGATGGAACCACAAATTAAATCTATTAAAACTGCCAAGAGAAGCAAAATTCTAGCCATTGTATAACACGTTCTCGTGGCAACATTAGGAAACAAAATGTTGCAAAATTTGCTATTTTCAGTTCACATAGGATTTGTTCATATGACCACCTTAGTGTGAAATGTGAAAGCCATCTTAACATTTGACCTTGTTACTCAGCTGACCAAGTCATTTAGGCATACGATCCTTTCAGGCATCATTGATAACAGTTTCAATGGCAACATTTGTTCAGAGATAAATTTAAAAAGAATTCCATCAGTTTGGCATGGTGAGTTACTCAAGGCAACTAGACTTTAGAAGTATCCAGGAACCAGAGTCAGTTGTTCGGCAAATCTGAGCAAGGGAAGAGCATCAGTCTATTCAGCCTTCAAGAAAAGGCTCAGAAAGATGACGTTGAAATGCTGCTTAGGAATACCAGCCTTCACCCCAGGAATTGAAATAAAACCATGCAAACACAGAACAGAAGCAAAACAAAAGAGATTCTGATTTTTTTTTTTTGCTTTTGCTTTGTATCTCTTTGTATAATTGGAAAAAGACAAGTGTCTTTTGCCTCTGAGACTGATTGCTACTTTACTTTAAATATTTTTGAAGGTTATTTCTCTAATCTTGTTGTGATCAGTAACAAAGCCAATGCAAGCGGCATCACTCGTCGCTTTCGTCTTGGCTTTCTGAAACTGAGGAGCTGTCCAGATCAGGTCCCACGTGAGCAGCTGAGGATTGTGTTCTTGTAGTCCACAAATGGATGGCTTTCCTAGGGTCAAAGCTGCCGATGTCCGGAGAGTTCAGCTGAATGATGAGGATGTCTGTCAAGCTCTCAGCCTTGGTTTTCTCATCCACGTGTGAGCGGGAGCGTTTCATCTGACTACATCCACGTTCCGGTTCTGCTGAACTTGCAGGGAGGGCCAGAACTAGGTCAATGAGCGTCAGAATATTTGGATACTTATGTGAATAAATAGAGTTTACAAAATCCCAGGTCAGCTTCCGAATGTTCTGAAATCTAGAAGGCAAGAGAAAGGACAGGAAAGATTGAGAGACCTAGCCTTTACCCAGCTACTGATACACGTCCCTTTCTTCAGTTTGCTTGTTATTCACCTGGCATATATTTCTAATTTTAACATGCTCCATTCAGTATCTACTTCGTCAGTTTTCACATTGGCAGCTTCTAGAACTGGTTCATAATGTGAAATCAGAATGGATATCTCTTTTTCTCCAAATTCTGCAATCGATACAGATAAACAAAAATGTCACAGACCCAAAATAACATCATGCAGACACAGAACGGTGAGTTCAGAGTCATTGGTGCCTATGAGTTACCTTGATTTATCTTTGCGGGCCACAGTTTAAAGCTTCCAATCATGGTCGCTCTCACCACATCTAGGCTGGCATCTCTGAAACAGTCTTGCAGCCTCTTGATAAGATGTGTTAAAACCACCTTTCTCACGGTAGAGATGTTTTCCTTCCCCTTGAGGCAGTTACCATGAAAGTGTGTGGCTGAATCCACCCTGCGTTCTTTTGGCCCTGGTCTGGAAGAAGATCACCCAAATAAAGAATTAAATGGATGCCCACCTGGAAAAGAATTCCCCTTGTCAAACTGTCTTCCTTGACAGACCCTCAGATGTCCTCAACCTGTCACCTTGATTGATATATCTGGAGCATTTTCAGTGTTGACTCCAAGGTAGTAAATATATCTGCAATTGAAGAATTTCTGTTTTGACTGGCACGGGACAGAACGCTAAGGACACTAATGATGTCCATCAAGAAATGTGCAAATTTGATGATATCAGCTTGGAGAAGAAGATCTAGAAGTTCATTGACTTTCTGTTGGTTGGCATCATTTTTGCCTTTATCTGCCTGTAACACAAGTTTGGAATGATACGGTAGATATTTCTCCATCTCAAAAACCTTATTCCAAAGAATTCTGTAAGATGACTTTTTGATGTTCCAGAAAACATATTTCAAAATTACTTACTGAATGCAGTTGCTGAACAATTGCTGGGTATCCTTTGAGAAAGTTCTGGAGGGCAGCCTGTAGTTCATTAAGCCACTGTCTGCCTCTTATTTGAGAAGGCATCACAGGTCGAAGGTGGAGGTCTCTGAAGGCAGTTATGAGAGAATTCCTCAGAAGCGGAGAGTGGCGGTAGAAGTGGTAAATATTGGTGAGGAGGTCCTCGAGGTCGTGGTACAGAGGGATACTCTGGAACACTGTTTTATAAGCCAGTTCTAGGTGATGTGCAAAGCAATACACACTTTGCACACATGGCTGTATTTCTCTCAAAAGCAGGGCCACTCGGTTCTCTCCCTCCATTCCAGAGGAATCACTGCACCCAAAACCAACTAACTTCTTTGCCCAGTCATGGCTTGACAGCCTAAGTTGAAGATTCATCTCTAGAGTTTTCTCAATAACAGTTTTTATTGTCAAGGGGTCCTTCTGCTCTACTGACTGTACCCCAACAATCTGACATTGCACTTTTCCTGCGTGTGCAAACTGAACATAGACCATTGTGACTTCCTCGGCTAAACTGTCTATACTTCCATCACTGATGACCGAGAAAAATTTACTTTTTTCTAGTTTTTCTCTTAGATTTTTTCTTTCTACTTCAGCAATGTAATATGTGAATGTTCTTGCTGATTTATTAGTCCTGAAGACTGGGCCTATGTCGACACCCTTCATATCATCCAGCTTACACATCCAAAGAAAGTCTTTGAGGGGCCGTCCAGTCTTCGCTAGGGCATGGCACGATCTAAATAAGTTCTCTACTCTCCCAAGTGTCACTTTGCTCATGGTCCTTACCATGAGCTCAGTGGCGGCTCTGTTCACTGGAGAACCACTTGTCGCTTCCATCAGAGATGCCTTGGCATGGGCTTCGCTGAGGTGGTGGGCACTGAGAAATTCAGCCCTGAAGTTGTCTGTGCCGTAGAAAAAACTCACTTGACTTCCCCCCGACTTCACTCCATGCTTACGACACAGGGCACAGAACATAATGTTTAGTAGCTCATCGTATACAAGCCAAGGGTACTTTTTGAGCCAGATTTTCAAAAACTGATGGGTTCTTTCTGGTAGGTAGTAGTCAAGTTTTCGTGACTTTTTCTGCTTTTTGGTGACTTTAGTCGCAGCATCTGGATAGTCTTTGCCTTTAAAAAAAACCTCCACATGGTTATTGAAGAACTCTTCACACCCACATCTGCCTCTTAAATACATATATTCTTCTCATGCAATATATATATATATATACACATATGTATATAAGTATATATATATATATATATATATATATATATATATATGTGTGTGTGTGTGTGTATACATGTAGTTGGTGTTGCTCATGTGCACATGAGTATAGGGCTAATCATTTTGTCTTGAGCAGTCTACTTCTTAGGGAGCTTGACCTGAAGAAAACATATTTCCCTTTTCAGTAGCCACAGACTGTCTGTAGCTCCTCAGCTAGGGGCAGAGCCTTTTGAGCCCTTCCCCCATCTATGCTGGAGTGTTGGCTGCTGTGTTCTTGGCAGGCCATGTTTAGGCAATCAGCAGCAAAAACAATGACCATGAACATTACTGCAACTGTTGCGACACCAACACTATGATTGAGTGTTTAGCATAGATCTAGAAATAGACATACAACATGCATATTCCTTTCAGTTGGGTGTTGTTTGTTCATAACATGATCAAACTTAGACCATCACTAACTGTAAATTGTCAAAAATCCCACATCCCATATACAGCTCTGGACCTTCTGTCTAAATGACAGCAGTTATCCATGTGGGCATTAGCTCTCCAGCTGAGTGTGTTCAGAGCACCCCTCTGATAAAGACCCACCATCTGTTCTCCAGCAGTTTCCAGACAGCTGGGGGAGGAAATACCGGGCACTCCCTCGACAGCTCACTCAACACCCATCCTCCTATACTCTTTGCTACACATTTTCTAACATTTGTTCTTCTAAATTTAAATATCTTCTAGATTCTTGTCACCAAATCACTCATTGCTTCCTTAGATTTGCTAATCTTTTCCTCCATGTATGTTGTTCTTGAACCAGCCATAATCACTACTCACCAATTCTCCTTTACTTTGCCCTCATGGGCACGTTCCTAGAGTTCATATTCTGTCTCATAATTAACCTACTGCTGTATGTTATATTTTTCTTTGTCTTTTCAAGTTAGATTCTAAACTCCACCATAGCAAATAGTTTTCTTTTAGTTATATCTTTTAAATTTTTTAGCTATTACTTCCCTCTTTCCCTATCCATTCTCTTGTGGTGGTATGAATAAGAATGGTCATATAAGCTCTTATATTTGAATGCTCTGTCGTCAGTGAGTGGCACTCCTTGAGAAGGATTGGGAGGCGAGGCCTTGTTTAGAGGAAGTTTGTCATTGGGAGTGGGCTTTGAGGTTTCAAAAACCCAAGCGAAGCCCAGAATCTCTCTCTTTCTGCAGCCTGAGAATCCAGATGTGGAACTCTCAACTATTTCTCTAGAACAATGTCTGCCTGACTGCTGCCAGGCACCCTGCCATGTTGAAAATGAATAAACTCTATGAAATTGTAAGTCAACGCCAATAAAATGCTTTCTTTTATCTTTGTTGCCACAGACATAGTGTCTCTTCACAACAATAGAACAGTGACCAAAACATCACTCTCGCTGTTTCATTATTGTCAGAAAATTGTCTTCCCCTATTTATTATATTCAGAAAAAAGATAAATTTTATCTGTGAACATACTTTTATTCCAATGTTTCTAGAATTTATATATGGAAGTATGTGTGTGTCAGATTGTCAAATACCATTTGCTATTTAGTTTTCAATTGTTAGCTGGAATGTAACCTTTGACTTTGAGGATATATTGACAAATGTGTTATAGTATTCACCATAATTACTTGGATTCCTTTAGAAATGAATTATTAATGACTTATAATTTTCAAAAGTTCACTTTTAACTACTCAAACGCCTCTAAATGGTTTTGTTAGCCCACTAATCAGATAGCTTCCTTTCAGTCACCATTATTTTGCATGTAAATATATAGCGTGGACAAAATGAATAGCTATTCCAATTTCAAAATGAAATCACGTGATAAAAGGGCCTTGTGGAGGTTTGAGCAATGGCACCCAACTTAAGGATCTGTATTTTGCTTCCACTATCCACAGGTAGGCTCACCACTACCTGTGACCATGTTCCAGGGCTTCTGATGCTTGCCTCTGACCTCCACTAGCACCAGGCATTTACATGATGTATTTACACATATTTCATGAAGGCATTCATACACACACACACACACACACACACACACACACACACACACACAGCTAAAATAAAATTTTAAAATACATTGTAAAATTCATTCAAGGGAATGAGGATGGACTCTGTCTTGCTAAAAGGCAACAGGATTTTGGAGTGGGCTTTTGACAAAGTTGGATTTTTGGTATTTGTTAGTGTCCACATTAATTTTGTTCAAATATTACCATCATGTCGATCCTTGTGTGTTTATGTACATTGGATGCATAAAGATTTCTTAAGCTATTTGATGAGCTGATACATGTCAGTGCATGTGTTCACAGAAGCACACATATGGACACCTTGATACCCATTGGTCTTGGCAAGGAAACCATAAACTATAGAGTGAGTTATCACTGTTGCTTTCAATGATATTTTCTATGGATTTCTGGAAATACTGGGACTAATTTTCAAAAAGTGAGACTGAGTTTATATTAAAACCCATTGACTGTCTCTACAGAAAAGGAATGCTTTCCTAATAATTAGGACATTTGGAGGAGTAAAGACAACTTTGTTCAAACATAAGGTGAACAAACGTTCAATTAGCAGAGTCTAAAATTTATATGGCATAAACATACTGCTTAACAGTGCTGTGACTGAGTGCTTGGTTCTGATGATTATAGATGATGATCCTACACACATATCAGTTTGAATTATATAGGATATTAACTGGTAGGACTCAATGCAGAAGGCATAGAACTGTAATGATCAAATAGGAAGACATTCAGGAATTTATGTGAAGAAAATAACGTAAGCATTCATGTGACCAAATCAATTAGACAAGTATCTTTCAGTAACTCATTTGTTTCTGATCAAGATCTATGAGGCACTGAAGGAAAAGGCAGTTCTAAGAGGGACATACTTCACTTCTTAAGAAGGACATACTTTACTTCCTAGTATCCCCTCCCTGGCTAGATAGACACACAAACTCAGCATCCCCAGTACATCTCTGCTTAGAAGTATGAACAAAGATTACCTTCCATATGCCAAATGGAGTCAAAGGAGGAGGAAGACAGGAGAAGAGAGTTACCAAGGATGACCACTGCCACACTCCGACACTGCTGGAGTGTCAGTCACTGCAACTCTCCTCCTTGTTTAATCCAGATGAATGCCATTTAGAGCAAATATCTGACAAACTGGAACAGAGCGAGGTCTCCTTGCAGTACCACACATTCCAACAGAGCTCACTCATCTTCTGGCCAAGCAAGAGCCACCATAGGCAATTCAAATCATCTTGGGTTGGTTTCATCTGTGGTGATTCTTTCTTACCTTTAGGTGCCATATCTAAGAACTGATCTCGGAGACTGTCAAGCTGTTCGATTGTCAGGGTGCCATTTTCTTCCTTTTCTACTGGTGGGGGACGGGTCGGTGGGACAGCATCTGGAAAGACTTTTACATCTCCATTGATGTAGAAGTCTTCTTGGTTTAAATAAATCTCATTTTGAATTTTTGTAGATGTTTCAATGTAGTAGCGAGCTACTTCAGTCAATTTGTCTATACTAAAAATAGCAAAATGAACAGGGTGACCCCCATTGAAAATTTTATTAGATTAGTAGTTAATTTAATAAGCTACACACACACACACACACACACACACACACACACACAAAGGCTAACATATTACATGGTAAGTTAGATTATTCTACAGATCTTTAAAGATTTTAATTTATCTTAGGCAGGGTACAGATTAAGAAAAATAAAAAACAAAACATAATCTTATTAAGTAGCCAATACAATTTAGTTTTATGCAAAGCTGAACAAGAAGAGAGCCTATTAAATTTGGTTTTATTAGTATTGAAATATACTTTTCTATGTAACAAAGATTTTATCAAAGGGTAGATTATTTTTTTAAAATAAGTTGATATGGCAGATCACAGTGACTGATAACTGTTATTTACTTCTAGAAAAGCAAAAATTAGCTTTTTTCCTAGCTTTTTGCCAAAGGAGTTTTATGTTACCCAGGACATATTTGATCGAATAACCTCCAGTGCATAAAATTCAAAGCTGGACGATGTGCCCATGAGCAGCAACAGTTGAGGCCTACCATGGTACAACAGAAATGGGCCCTAGGTTCTCACCTACAATGTGCTTACCATAGCCCCATGGTCTGGAGTGTTTTATTTGTGAAATAAGGCCATTAATATTTACTCCCCTTTTAATGACAATTTATAGGAAACCACGCAGGTCATGGGTATAAATAGTGGTCTAATGGCCTAATGGAAGGCAATTTAAAGGTGTCTTCAATATTAGACATAATCAAATGTACCACCACTGTAATGGGCAAAAAGATTTTTGTTTGCTCTTATGATGAAAGACTGGACATTGCAAGATGATACATACCTAGTCTGTCTTTATATAATGAGCAACCAAATATTCATATTCTGAAACTTTAAAAAGAATGATCAGTTCCTGGCCTTGAAAAGCTGCCAGACTACTTCTAATGTTTACTGTGAATGTTCATACAAAAGTTCTAACTAGTGTGTGATTTAGTGTTCTGCTACTGGGGGACACACAAGAAAAGGATCATGTGGAACCTGAGTTCATGTGATATATTTGCTGAGATTTGACCAGAACCAGAATGTCAAATGACTGTGCTCCACCTAGTGGAAGGTTACTGTGAGTCAATGCAGAAGAAAGAAATTGCCAGGGAAGTAGATTCAGGGTTCAAAGAAATTTGACAGTCTCTCTCTCTCTCTCTCTCTCTCTCTCTCTCTCTCTCTCTCTCTCTCT